CCCCTCATCAAAGAAACTTCTCTTTAAAACAGAGGAGACCATTGCAGGAAACCGTAACTGATCCAAAGGCAAAGAACACACCATCATGGGAGGCTTTACTACAGCTGATCCATGTATAACAGCTAAGGCTCAGGGAGTATCATGGAGGAGGGATCAGAAAAAGTGCCAAGCCAGAGAAGCAGGAAATCAGTAGTGAGACTGTATCTTCTAGAAACAGCAGCCCATGACACCGCAACAACGTGGCTTCCAAAACAAGATCTGGGCAAGGGCAGCACCAATAGAGGCAGTTCATTTCTTACAACTGAATCCTTCTGTGTCATCTCTTCTACCCCTCTCCAAAATGATGCTGCTTGTAATCCAACCCATGAACTTGTATTTTTAATTTACTTTTCTCCTTTTCTTTACTTTGTTACTTATTCTAACTTTTAAAAGTACGCCTGGCATGCTTTTTTACACCTTTACATATAACACATATGCACGTTATATATACATAAAGGTGGAAGGGCACATCTATACACAAGTTAATACGGATACAATGATCCATGTATAAATTTCAATATCATATACAGCAATTTCTCTATCAATAATTTGAGGAAATTAAGGCAATTATTTTCTCCACATACCTACCTTCCTATTTTAAAGCAAAAACAAAAGCCAATATTTTCTCTTTTGAAGTAAGTATTGTCTGGAGATGCTGCTTATGCAGACTGGACACACCTTGATAGCAGGTACAGAATGGACCTGGCAGGCTCAGAGTAAGAGGAAGAGTGCCTTTCATGTGGCAGGAGCCAGCCTATGTGGGGGAAAGCCCGTGTCAGCCAGGCAAAGAGGCTCCATGAAGTCAGGCAGGAAGAAGCTGCCTGCATGGGAGTGGCCACAGGAACCACAGAGATGTGCAAGTGAGACACAGCACCAGTCTAAACTAGCCAGGAAAAACTACCAATCAGATATGTCTAGTCAAATATGTATCCATTTTTAAAGAAATTAAGGTAAAAGCAAGTTCTGCCAATTTTTATTGTTTTTTTTTTGTTTGTTTGTTTGTTTTTCGAGACAAGGATTCTCTGTAACTTTTGAAGCCTGTCCTGGAACTTGCTGTGTAGACCAGGCTGGCTTCAAACTCACAGAGACCCACCTGTCTCCGCCTCCTGAATGTTGAGATTAAAGGTGTGCACTACCACCACCCAGCTGTTTCACCCTTCACAGTGGAAATAGAAGGCTCTTGTTTTTATCTGTCTTCTTAAACATTAAATGGCATGGCGATTTCTGATTCTAGCGTGGGAGCCGTAAGGGTTTCAGCCAGTCTCCAGGAGCAGCTCTGTACTCCAAGTGTGGCGGGCACCCACTGCTGAGGAACGCAGCTGGCTGTCTCCCTGATGCCTGGAAGCAAACTGCTCAGCATTCCATGCACACAGCCATTTCTGCAAAGCATCTAACTCTCTCCTCCTCCTGGAGAAAAACTCAGAAGAAAAAACAGTGGCAAGCATAGAAACCTCACCCCAAATCCATGTTAAAGGCAGCAGGGCTGAGTCTCTAGAAGCAGTGTGGTAGACACCATGGTCAACCATCTCTAAGGAAGAACCTGGGGCGATCAATAGCTATTACTGCCCACTACAGCTATGCCCTCAGAAAAGGCCAATATACTGTAGAACGGCCATTCATATCCTTCCTACGTGACAGGTTTCTCTGTTCTAGATATTCCATCAGTCCTGAATGGTTTCTTTTTTCTACCATGTAGCCCAGCAGTGACCACGCAGTTTCAGCAGCTGCATCCAAACACAGGAGAAGGTGTGGCCAGCCCGGGTCTGCAATAGCAGCAGAGAGGCCCAGGGAGATCCCTTTACTGGCGGCTTCTTCAACCAGCCCTGAGTTAGAGGACTGACAGCCCTCAAGCTGACTAACCAGAAAGAAAGGAACACCCTCCACCGAGACAATTAATTTACAGCCTGCAAAGCCACAGCAAGAGCCTTCCGGAATGAAATGCAGACAGGCATGCAGGCAGCAGGCTAGAGGCAGCTGGCACTTAACCGGATGAGCAGTGAAGTGAGTGAGGAAAGACAGGCGACTGCCGTGTAAGACAGCCTGGGTTCACTCCTGCTCTGCCCTTCGCCAGCTATGGAGCCCAAAGGCAGTCACTGATGTGCCTGGTTTGAAGCACATAGAAAGGGCAGCAGCAATTGTGCTACTGAGCCGAGGAAAGGAGAAGCTGGAGTCAGTGCCAGGCACAGCAAGCATCACGCAAGCAGGCTGGGTTCTCAACGGAACCTTCTGAGAACAGGAACATGTAGACAAAACTGCCTTTTCCCCAGTCCAGGGCACTACTGGATTCAGTACAAATCATAGCCGCCCCAAGTTTGCCTTCCCTATTTGTTTAATCAAAAGCATTTCAAGGCTTTATCATAAAAGAATGTTAAAAAGATATTATTTAAAGTGGGCCAGGCAGTGGTGGCACATGCCTTTAATCCCAGCACTCGGGAGGCAGAGACAGACAGATCTACCTAGGAATTCAAAGCCAGCGTGGTGTACAAAGCAGGTTCCAGAACAACCAGGGCTACACAGAGAAACTCTGTCTCAAAGAAACGAAAATTAAATAAATAAATAAAATAAATTTCAAATGGTAACTATCAGATACTTAAAATACCTGTCTCCACTTCCGACAACATTTACGTGTGTGTGTGTGTGTGTGTGTGTGTGTGTGTTATAAAAAAAAAAATCTCCTCAGAACGTACTTAACAGGAATTTATCAAGCAAATGAAAGCATTTTCCATGTGGGCAGTTTCCTTAGTCAACTGGCACACACTAGAATGGGAATTTAAAATGTAGGTTGGAAGCTTACTTTACCACAAAGAATCCCAAGAGTTTCTTTTCTTTCCTTCAGAAGTCTCGGATTTCCCACCTGGAGAATAGAAGGCTTGGACCTAATGACCGGGGAGTCCTAGAGTCCACACTGCTCGGCCCTTGTCTTCCTCCTCGGTCACTGGGACGCTGGCCACGACTCCCTTGTTGCTCCTTTCTACTATTAGCCACGACTTGTCTCCTGGCTATCGATCAGCTCCCAGCAGGCTAATATAATTCCCTACCTAGCCCCAAGTAGCAAGCATGCAGCCTCCTAATGAAAAACCTTGCATTTAATCAATAAAATTAGAAGCTTTTGGAGTGATTCATACCCTTTTGCTGTTTAGCTGATTTCCCCAGCCCCGAGGTTTCCTAGCAATGCAGCTCCTACCGAATTTCTTCAACCAAGTCATCTCACCATTTGTCTCTGCCCTAAGTCAACATTTAGAGATTGACAAATTATTTTTCTCCTTTATTCCTTGTCCTAGTCAGATTCAAACTATCTTCATGTAATTTTATTCCCTTTTTGTTAATGTTCTAGGTTACCCTACAAGGTCAGTTAAATTCTTGCAAGTGGTGAGCTCTCACCACGGTGGTTTTCAGATTAACAGGTCTCATGTTCTATTAAAATCTCCCCAGTCTCCAATCACATTGCCAAGGCTGAAAGTGAATGTGGGTTTCTACAATATCTACTCTGCTGAGTAAAATAACACCATCCATAGTCACTATTATTTCACAAGATAATTTTAACATTAAAAACCAGGAGGAAGCCAATGTTAGAATAAAATACAGTTTCTGGGTAGAATAATGAATAACCAACCTCATGGCTTTATGAGCAAGTCTCCATAGCAGCGTCCTGACTTCTCTCAACTTTTCTGTACAGAGATGAGCTGTCAGAGATGCATGTGTGGGCCATGGATGCATAAGAGGCAGGGGGCTACACACTACAGCACCTGCCGTTTATGGATGTGTTTGAGGAGATGGCCGCTTGTCTCAGCAAACTGGCATTTGCTCCCAGATTTGGGCTTTCTTCATAGAGTTCAATCTTGGGGTGGCTACTGCTGATTTTCTTCATATCCCGACTCCATAAAGTCAACTTTGTGCATTTCACATAACCCATGTGATACAGACATAACAAGTTGAGCCTAGATATGCTCTTACCTCAAGAGGATGTACCTACACTGCCATTTTCTACTTCCACCTGTTTGTAGAATCTGCCGTTCTCCACCCTATGTGCTCAGGCTTCGGAAATCTTTCATTATTCCAGGCAGATGCATTCACTTTGCTTGATATGTTTGTGCCCATCTTCCCTTAATATTTTTCCACTGATAATTTATTTTTATTATTATTAACTCTGTAATCTTTTAGTGTGCCTATTTCTATAATAGTTAATAATATTATTATGCATAGTGAAAAAAGATTTCTCTCCCTTAAAGATCATTAAATTATGTGAGAATGGTCTCATTGAGTTTAGATGCTTCTATAATGTTCTCAAAAGTGAACTACATTAGGTAATAAAATCTTGCATATTTACAGCCATTAGAGAATATAAGATAATAAAACTGTACGGGTGATATTATTTTTTTACCTAATTGAGGTTTTTTAAAGGAAGCAATAAAGAAATAAATGGAAACACTGAGAGAAAAGAAGACAAAGGGAGGAAAAGTTTAGGACTGCCACCATCCATGCCACCACATTTAAAAGCAATGAGCAATATTCTGCTGATATTAAGTCCAATAATCCATTACAATAAATACATGAAGAATGGTCTTAGTTGAACTGAGCCACTTTTACACATCAGCAATAACTATCTATTTGTCTGTCTAACTTTTGGAATGATAGAGACTTCATGAATATGAATATGATGCAAGTTTTCCACCACTGAGCTACAGCCCCAGCATATTTTACATGGTAGAACACTAAAACTTGTCCTAGAAACATCTTCTCTTATTTTCCTTCATATTAAGAGTTGCTTCACCTTTCAACAAAAGAAAGGGTTGATGGTCACATATCCAGAGCATGTGACCTGGGTAGTACAAATCTTCTCTTCGGTCCTATGCAACACGTACACACGTGCAAGACGAACGCCGAAAACGACCTGTGTATACTCTCCCAGATTCACTAGCATACATGCTAATAGGTTTTTAGATCAGATTTCAATCACTTACCAAAATAAGTCCAGATATTAGTGAGGAGGTGCCTGTCAGGGCCACGTAGAACTTCGGTGTTAATGTGTTCAAAAACATGCTCACTGGGGGAAAAAAAAAAGGAAAAGGGGAGAAGAATTAGAAAGGCATGACCGTATCAGTAAAACTTGTTCTTTGTTTCTTAAGATTGGGTGTGCATGTGTGTCTGTTTGTGTGTGCATGGTGTGTGTTTGGTCTACATGTATGTATATGTACTACATGCATGCAGTATCTAAGAAGGACAAAAGACAGCATCCAAATCCCCAGAACTGTAGTTACAGATGATGGCTATAGCTACCACGTGGGTGCTAGGAACTGAATCCCCACCCTCTGCAAGAACACTGAGTGCTCTTAACTACTGAGCCATCTCTCTAGCACCTAACTCATTTATTTTGATTCTTTGTGAAATCGCTTGTTTCTGGTGACCAGAATTCCCAGAACCATAGCAAAGTCCAACTGGTACACAGATTCAGAAAGGCAGGTATCAGGTTATACCCTAATGATACAGTACTTGCCAAAGAAAATGAGCCGATTGGTACAATAGTGGTCTGACTGTTAGGGGTGTATCCAATGGTTTTCTGGTTGGATTGAAGCCTGTTCCACAGAAAGAAATTTATGGCTAGTTATTTAAACCTGGTCACAAGCCTTTGGCTGAGGAAGGCACAGGTCTGAGTTACCTACTGCTATTATTTTGCTCAATGGAAAATTCAAATTGTCTTCTAAAATATTAACATTTGAGTCCTTAGATTAGTGCTACTCTCAAACTGAGTCAGATAAATTTCTTTTTGCAGTAGATATCCAGCAATTCAGAGACTCATAACAGGCCAATATGCTGAGAAGAAGTAGCAGTGAGTGTTCAACCCTAACTTGGATATTTTTTGTACCCTCAAAGCTCAGGGTAGATCACAGAAGGGAAGGAAGGAAAATAAGGACCAGAAGACGGGGAAGAGTGCTGTAAATTCTCTTCTGCGTGGGGCATGACTGTTGCACTCAGGAGCTCACGGCAGCTATAGTTACCTGCACAAGACCTAGACAGGAAAGCCAGTCAATACTCCCATCTGGGTGCCTGCGTGGGGCATGGGTTCTGGAGGCTCCAACCCTAGGTGAGGTGCTACTGGCAACGGATAGCTGCTAAAGAAGTCATATTTTTTTGTGATATTTCAGAGGTAAGCTTAAAGATGCTATTGGGGTTATTTGTTGTTTTGAATTAATATTATGTGGTTCTGGTTAGCTGGGGTTGAAGAAACATTTGTAATTAAGAGATCAGAACCACTAAGTGAAACCTTTGGTTTGCTGGGAAACTAAGTGGTGGTCAGCTGGGGCTGAGAAAGATGCTGATAACACCAGCATCATTTAAGTAAAATCTTCTAGGAAGTGTTTCCTCAGGGTCAGCATACAGCATCTATGGTCCAGAGCGAGCCATGGTGAGAGCTTGTGCTGGCAGCGGAATTTAGTCATGTGCAGAGTTATCCTGTGGTTCTGTGTCTAAAGGTCTGAAGGGGTCCTGGAGAGCAGCGCTGTGAAAACACCAGGCAAGGCCGTGGGTGAAGGTGCAGCCTCAGTGGCAGTTAAAGGCTCAGGGCTGAAGGTCATGCAAGGAGGTTGAGACTTGGCATCACAAAGAAAAGCCCACACTACTGGTGCAGCCTAGTTGCAGCAAGAGACCCCAGCATTTAGGAGATGCCAGTACCATAGCCTGAACACCAAGAACAGCAGCAGTGCAGAGGAAGCAGCAGGGGCTTAGAGGACGAGCTGGTGTGCTGCAGAAGGTGAAGTTAGAACAGAGACCACAGCCCTGTGGAGGAATGCAGAAGGCCCTGATGGAATCCCAGATACGGAACATTTAGTAATTCACACTGAGTTTGGTTCTGCTCTGTTCAAAATTGTGACTGCACTCTGGTTCTTCCCTCTTGAAGAAAGAAAGTGTTCAACTTAATTTTGATTTCACAGGAATCCACAGTAGAGAGATATTGAACTTTAAAGAGAGATTTGGGATTTTTAAAGAGACTGAACTTTTAATGTGTTTGAATTTATAAACATGTGGGACTTTTAAATTTATTCATGTTTCATATTGTGAGTTTTATATTAATATGCCATTTGGGGAATAAGTGAGAAAGAAAAGATTCTAATCGTTGAAAAACGATGCACTTGTGTGTCAGGTTGACAAGGGATGAGTTGTGCTTGCTAGTTTTATGTCAGCCTGAAATAAGTCATCTGAGAGAAGGGAACCTCAATTAAGAAAATGCTTCCCAAAGATCTGGATGGAAGCAAGCCTGTAGGGCATCTTCTTAATTAGTGATTGATGGGTGAGGGACCAGCCCATTGTGTGTGGTGCCACCTTGGGCTGGAGGCCCTGGCTTCTATAAGAAAGCAGTTCAGCAAGCCATGAGGAGCAGGCAAATAAGCAGCACCCCTCCATGCCATCTACGTCAGTTTCTCTCTTCAGGTTCCTATCATGTTTGTTCTTGTACTGACTTCCCTTAGTGATGATGGCGTATAAGCTGAATAAGCCCTGTCCTCCCCAGGTTGCTCTGGTCATGGTGTTTCATCACAGCAAAAGTAATCCTAATACAGGCAGCAATGTAGACCCGAGGCAGTCACCAGCGCAGTAGTTTGGGAAAATGAAAACCAACATGGATATTTGGTAATGCTGGTTAATTACAGGATGCCCAAGATGAATGATAAGGGAAACTACTGCCCACCAAGAGCTTCATTCTTGGCCATTCATAAATAACACATAACTCCTGTCTCTGCTGCCATTTAACATGTTGAGATGCAAGGCTCTGAAAATCCGCTAAAATTGCAGCTGAGGGGATGCTTTTTCTTTTAAATCTGGGAATAAAGTATATTTATAATATATCTGTAAATAGTCTTTTTCTAGAGCTGTTTTACTATAGAGCATTTGTATAACCTTATAAAACCTGTCTTTCATCCGTCAGTTCAGCCAGGATTAAAGGCTGAGCAGAAGCACTTCTACTTCAGCTCCCGCTCCTCCCCTGCTCCCCTCCTGCAGTGGGCTCCTAGCCTCAGCTCTCATGTACACAGGCCTCTGAAGAAACCCTATGGCACTTATCTTTGTGAGGGAGAAGCATGGAGATTTATTTTTAGACTCATTCCTAAAGTAATAAATCATTCTGTCTACTCTTCTTCTACCCTTGTTGTTGCCTTGGCAACTTTACAGGTATACTGTTTCTGCCTTACAGAGCAGCCAGCTCCATCTGAACACACTCTTTCTTTTCTCAGCTGTGACCCGAGAAGGTATTGTTGGAGCATGCTATATTAGTATGAACAAGGCAGCATTAGGTTCTCATGTCACCTTCTCCCTTGCTAGGGAGAGGTCATCTGACACATTTTCCTGTCATCGGGCTCAAAGTCCCAGGACCCTAAGGACAAGTGAAGCAAGATCCCAGATGGTGAGTTCCCTTCGGCTGACACATGCATACTGCTGAAGATCTGCATCCTGGCGGAAAACTAGAGAAAAACGTTCGCAGGTCGTACTCTCGGTCATTTGTGTTTAACGGTGATTTTTAAAAGTCAAATATAAATACAGCAGAAGTAAGTTTCTGATGCCTGGTACTTTGGATCCTCCCCCCCCATCCCCTTGCCCAGTGTGTGTGTGTGTGTGTGTGTGTGTGTGTGTGTGTGTGTGTGTGTCTGTGTGTGTGTGCGCACGCGCACATGTGTAATTTCTAAAGTACACATGCAAGATGAAGTGCACATCAGGCAGATCCAATAACTACTTCTTCAATAAGCCAAGAATCTCCTAGATATTATGCGATACAATGCCCAGAGAGTATGACATTGGCTATATAGCAGCTTTAAATTTAGTCATTTTGGAGGAAGGAGAAGGGACAAATAGAGTTATAGTACAACCTCAAAATTAAGAGAAAAACTTTTAAGAGAGAAATTGGTCACTTAGGATAAAGACTTACCCTACCAAACTCCAAAGACACTTTTCTTTTTAAGGCAATTTTATATGCAAATAGGTTCAAAATGCACTGGGTGTACTTGACTTAGCCCTTCAACAGAATGCCTCTAACAAATTTTATTCTTTCAGTAGCAACTCTACCAACACAGACACAAGCTGTACCACTGTGAGCATGCAGTGACGTTTCCAGAAACTGACTTAATTCTTAAGTCAACACTATTTCCCTCCAAAACTAAGTGATAGAAGTATTTTTCAAGCCTTCCCGTGTTCTTTTTATCATTTGGTGTGCCAACCCAGGAGTAACTATTATTTTCATTGCCTGCCTGCTCTCGTCCACTCTCTCTCCCTGAAGACGTGCTATTTAAAATCTGTTGTAAACTCAAAGGCAGATAATCAACTGCAGTTCAGCGAGCTATGTATGTCCAATGTGTGTCAGGCACTGCATAAAGTTCTGAGGACTCAAATGTGCTTGACATGTAATTCTTGTCCTTAAGGAATTGGGTAATTTTTTGAGAAGCAAACATGGGAACAATATAACAGTCTATTATGATTCCGAGAGCCAGGGAGGTGCTCTTTCCTCAGCCCTGGCTGGAGTGGGAGACAATGTGCACCAACGTGCTCCTTTGAGAAAGCCTCAAATAGTGCCCCAAAGGACATGCACTGAAATCATGCAAAGTAAGCGCTGTGACTGACAGCCAAAATGAAGGGGTTCTTTGGTAACCTTTGAGGCTCTGCTGTGTGTGCTCTGTGCATTGGCTTTTTTTTCTTTCTCATTTAATGCCTGTAGTCTAATTGGAAAGGCTAGACTGCTGGATTCTTGGCGAGCACAGAACCACTGGCACGAGCAACACTCGTTCTCGTGGGGAACTGTGGTGAGCGATGTAAAAACACTCCCAGAATTCCTTGTGTTCACACTGAAGGGCACCTACAGGGTCAACTGGGCAAAACGTTTTCTATCTTCTTGAGAGAAATCTTGACCCTGCCTTCTCACTGATCCCTCCTTCACTGGAATTTACACAGAAAATATTACAGAAATGTCTGTGGTTAGGTTTAGGAAGAATGCATGCTGCAAAGTTGAATATAGGCATTTATTACCTAATGTGCCAGAGATAACTGCCCAACTGGAGGTTAACAATA